TTGTTTTTGTCTTTGTGGTTATTATTTTGTTATTTTTTTTCTCTTTAAATTTTTTAAAAAAGAATTGTTTATCATTAGACAGAAACATTCTGGGAAGGAGGGGGTCTGAGAAGAGTAGGTAGAGTTGAAAGTGTCCTTGACTGGACCAGTCTTCCCCACACATGATTTCCTTGAAGCAAGTTGGAATCAATGCATATACTTTTAACTAAAGGAAACACAGTCAGTTTGACCCGTTATATTGTTAAAGGATAACAGCTGGGTCCAGACAGTCCAGGCTGTAGCTGAATTTAGTAAGCTAGCTACTTGACAAGCAGCAGGAGTCTATGGTCACTGGCTTCTAATTGATTTCTAACTTTTGCTCTAATATGCCTACAAGTCTGCTATTCTATGTGTGCCCTAACAGAATAAAAAGGGAAAGGAAGGTTCACTACTGTTTTGCCACACCGTGGACTGTCCATCCTCTGCCATGTCCTGCCATGCTACCCTGTCTTGGTGCCAGTATACTATGGACTGAAACCCCCACAAACTGTGAACTAAAATAAAACTTTCCTCCTTTAACTTGTAGATGTTGGGTATTTTGTCCCATGATTGAGCAAGTAACCAAGATAGGGGTATTCTTCTAAGCTAACCCATAACACTCTGGTCTCTGTTCCCAAAGTCTCATGTCATCTCATTATGTAACATGTCATATGCATCCAAAGTCTCAATAGTTCCACATTTCTCAAAAGTCCAAATTTAAAGTCTCCTCTGAGACTCAATGTGAACTATTCTTAGTTGTGAGCCCCTATAAAAAGAAAAAGGAAAAAAAAAAAAAACCCTTACATATTCTCCAGAAATAACTTCACAGTGAAAACATTCTCACTTCAAAAATAAGGAATAGGTGAATAGATAGCAAGCCAAAGAATGACTGAAGCACAGTGAAAAAAATATTTGGTTCATATCTGGCATCTGATGTCCATGGTTTTGTAATATGAGCTACAGGAGCCTTGGGTAGTCTTACCTCTGTGGCTTTGCTGATGGCAGCCCTCGTGAGCTCTCTCTTGAGCTGTCTCTGATCATTGCTAGAAGCTTTCCTCGGCAGGTGTTGCATGTATCTAGCATCCCAAACTTCCTGGAGTCTCCCCAACAGCTTCAGTCTCACCATCACAGCTTCATGCATTGTCTACTCAGGGGCGAATTGCTTGAATTCCAGGCCTTCTTTGACATGTTTGAAAGCCTCTCTGACCTTGCAACTCTTGAAACTTTCATGCCTTGAAAAGTGGTTTGATATGGGGACAATGTCCAGGGCTCATGCTACTGCAAACAGTAGTCAGGGCCCCTTGGACTGTGGGTGCAGTGGCCTCCGAGTGAATGGATGTTTGGACTCAAGGAAACACTTTTCCCTGGTGATGCTGATTGAGCAGAATACCCTGAGACTCTGTGCTCAGGTTGTCTTTCAAACAACCTTTAATTTTCACACCCTTGAGTATGAGGCAGGTGGCATCTGGCCAGTTCCTGAGATGTATTCAAGGTATCTTTCCTACTGTCCCAGGGCAAAGTACTGGACTGCTTTAATGGCACTAATCTATTCAGTAGCCACACTCTCCTTGGCCAAACTTTACATGCAGTTCTTTTCTGGAACAGGAGCAAAATTGATAAACCTTTCAGCTCTGCTTTTTGCTTCTTATTCTCATTGTAGCTGTAGCTAAAAGCAGTCAGTATTACTGAAGACATAACATGAACGTTTGGCTGCCTTGAAGTCCTCCTCCAGATTAATTAATACATCACCTTTAAATTCAGCCTCACAGAAGTTTCAGGGAATGGACAAAATGTAGACAGATTCTTTGTGAGAATGTAAGAAGATTGGCCTCTAGGTCAGTTCTAAGGAGAGTCCTATTCCCATCTGGTATCTCAAGAGTACAGTCTTTACTGTTCACACATTCTTATCAGCAGTGTGATCCGAGCTCAAGTCGCAATTGAATAACAATCTCTACTTAGAACCTTCTACCCCACCTCCAACCCAGTTCTCCAAACTTCTGAAAAACTTGCCCACAAATCAGTCCAAAAGAATTCTGAATCACATAGTCAGGTAAAGTTATAGCAATGACTATGCCTTCCCAGTACCAGTTTATTGTGTCAGTCAGATTTGCATTGCTGGGATAAAATACCTGACACAACTTGAAGGAAGAGAGGTTTCTTTCACCTTGTGGTTTCAGAGGTCTTAGCTCATGGTTGGCTGGCTCCAAGGCAAAACATCAGGGTGGAAAGACATGGCAGAGGAAATTGTCTCAACTCATGGAAACGAAGAAGCAAACACTGCCAGAAGAAAGCCAGGGCCTTAGATATTTCCTACAAAGGCATGCTTCAGCCATCAACTTCTTTCAAGTTGGCCCCGCATCCTAAGATTCAATACTTCCACGGAGTGACTCATGTATAAGTCAGTGCCCTGATGATTTAACCACTCTCTCAGAGCCACACCTCTGAACCCAAGAGTTAAGCCACTGGGGGACTTTTGATCCAAGCCATTACTTAAGGGCTCAAGAGTATGTGATCTAATGCTCTGGAACCCGATACAGCTGGGATCAATAGACTTCATATACTGCACAGTGAGTGTGGAGTCATGAGCGTCACTTCCCACTTTATACTGAAGCATCCAGAAGGTGATAGACACACAGTATGATGCCACCATGTCTTGAAGCCATGGCCCAGGTGCCAGCTGGAATTGCTACCCAGTGAGGATGGAACTCAACCCTTCTGCATGCTGATTCCAAACTAAGGGAATGACCATTAAGTGGGACTGCATCCCCATAGTTAGAAACATCAATACCAAGATTAAGACATCAAAACAAGAATCACTTCATTTACCTAAATGCCCAGTGGCACATCTGAGGGAATCTGTATTTCTTCCACATAAATTTAGCCTCTGTGGAAGGAGATATTCTGGATCCAGAGGTGAGGGGATTCCAAGGGGCGTAGAAAGGGTCTCAGTGGAATGAAAGTTGTGGTCTTCACCTTATCACTCGTGATGCCTTCTCCTTTGCCTTTGTTGCCTAGGGTTGCCTTTGCTATTCTATGTCTCTTCTGTTTCTGGATGGATTTTAGGAACGTTTTCTCTAGATCTATGAGGTACGCTAATGGTATTTTGATCAGGATTGCATTAAATCTGTATAATAGTTTTGGGAGTATGGACATTTTCACTACATTGGCTCTTCCTACCCATGAGCAAGGGATTTCTTCTCATTTTCTGATATCCTCTTTGATCTCCTTTTTCAGAGTGCTGTAATTTTTAGCATGTAGATCCTTTACTTCCTTTGTCAGAATGGTTCCTAAGTATTTCATTTTTTTGGATGCTATTGTGAAGGATTTCCTTAATTTCTCTCTCAGAGAGTTTATTGTTTGTGTACAGGAATGCTGTTGATTTTTGAGTGTTGACTTTGTGTCCAGCTATGCTACTGAATTTGGTTATTGAATCTATAAGCCTTTTGGTGGAGTTTTTGGGGTCTTCTATGCAGAGTATCATGTCATCTACCAGTAATCACAGTTTAACTTCTTCCTTTCCTATCTTTATTCCATTAATTTCTCTCTCTTGTCTAATTATTCTGGCTCGTGTTTCCAGACTATATTGAACAGGAGTGGTGATAGTGGACATCCTTGTCTTGTTCCTGATTTTAGAGTGAAAGCTTTCAGTTTGTGTCCATTTAGAATGAAGTTGGCTGTTGTTTCTCAAAGATGGCTTTTATCAGACTGAGGTAAAGACCATCTATTCTGATTTTCTGGAGGGTATTTATCATGAATGAGTGTTGGACTTTGTCAAAAGATCTTCCTGCATTTACTGAGTGATCATGTAATTTTTGTCTTTGGTTTAGCTGATTCTTGTTTTGTTTTGTTTTGTTTTGTTTTGTTTCTCAGTGCTAGGGGGCATACTTGATGATACATGCATAGCGATGTTTATAGCAGCACAACTCATAATAGTTAATCCTGGAAACAGCCTGTAAGAGCATCAAAACATGAATAGGTAAGAAAATGTGCTGTCTATACATAATGGAATACTACTTGACTAGAAAGAAAGATAAATTTGACACATTTGTAGGAGTAAGGATGCACCTGGAAAATATGTTGAGTGAAATAAGTCAGACAGAAGCTTGAATATCATATGGTGTGTGTCATTAGAGTAAGGCAAAGTACAAACACACAGCATAACGACAGACTGATAGACGGGGACAAGGGGATGGACCTCTTGCAAATGGGAAGGGGTCCAGGAGGCCGGGGGTGAGGGAGAAGGCGGGGGAGGGGAAACCTGAAGATTTGAGATGTGCCATCGGCAGGTACCAAATTCCCGCAATGACGTAAACATTAGATGTGTGTTGTAACATGTGCTAAGAGTAATAATAACAGTGACAGTGCAAGGGGAAGCGGGACTTTGAGGTGGAGGGAGGGAAGAGGGGGAGGCGTGCGGGAAGGGAGGCGATTAAAGAGGGTGGTAGGTACGGACACCGCTCCCCAGATTGCAAACTTGAGGCACTGCAAGCACATCTTAACAAAATAAAAAAGAAAGGCCCAGAGTGACTCACTTCTCTCTAAGTGCCCATGGTGGTAGAGTTTCATGGTGGGCAGGAAGGCAGGAAAGAAAACTGGGCCGAGAGCTGTATGACTTACAAAATTCTGTGGGTGCTTGTGAGCGAACTGCGCGTTCCTCACATTAGGACAGTGGCCAACTAACGTGGCAGATTCGGTGGGTATGCGTGGAGTGGTATGTTTAAAGGAGCTGAAGAATAAATAAGCCAAGGGTGAGATAAGCTGCTCAGTGGAAACCCATGGTCCCTCCTCCAGCTCTCAGTGCTGACCCAGGGCTCAGACCTTCAGCTAACCCAGTCCTGAGAAAGAGGCCAGGCCCCCAGGAGAAAACCAACAGGAAATACATGTGACAGTACCATCTCCAGTCCACTCCCTGTGGCACTATAGCAAATGCAGAAGCAGAACACAGTGGTACCTCAGTTCACGAACTTGCTTCTTCCCACGACTCTGCCTGCAAGCCAGTTGCACCACAACCAATTCAAATGCAATTGTTGGGTTCAGCCTTGACCTTGGGAAATTTGATCCAGCTCTCACCCAGTTCAGTTTGCAACGCAGAGAGATAAGCTTCACTCACCTGCCCAGAGAAAATCCCCAGGCAGATGCAGGTGCCGCTCCGAGACCCACCCTCCCGTATTAGATGAACATGTGCTATGGGAACAGAGCAAACGCATCTGAAAGTCCGTTCTGTGATCCTCTCATTCTTTAGAGACGGCTCACCCCAAAACTGCTATATAAGGATAACAACTCAAGAAGGAAAAATGAGGACACGTGACACACTTATATTTCTGTGCTTCAAAATTTGGATTTATTTAAAGTGAAGGAATATGTCCGTATGAGAAAATATGAGCATGAACAAGCATTCCATGAGAGTGACATGACAGTTAACAGGCCTCAAAGAAAATTAAAACTTGTGTCATTTGAGAGAGAGGGGGGAGGGAGAGACAGGGAGTACCTCAGGGGATGAGAGAATACGTCTAGAATCCCAAATCAATCTTAACTAAGTTTCAGGCTTACTCAGGCTCTTAGGAATGGGTGTTGAGCAAGAACAGAAACATGCAGGTCAAAGCACTCAGCGGCAAGAACCACTGGGACATGTGGAGGCAACAACAGGTAGTCTAGCAGCAGGAGGGGCGGCAGCAGCTAGAGATGCAGCAGCTGGGCCTGCAGCAGCTGGACACGCAGCAGCTGGGGCGGCAGCAGGTGGTCCTGCAACAGGTCCTCTCACAGCAGCTGGGCTGGCAACAGCTGGGCCTGCAGCAGCTAGAGATGCAGCAG